AGTTCAGGATAATACATAAATGTTTAATCCCTTTTCAGATAAGTGATAGTGAGAATGGGGCAAAGGCGTAAAGCCCCAGTTTTTTTTCTTTAAAGTTAGTAGTCACATAAAGTCACATAAAGTTACACCTCTGAACCCCATATTTCCACTTGAAAGTAAGCAAGTCCCATTACTTTGCAAACTAATCAGGAAAAGAACACATTTGTTACTTCATGCAGCTTAAAAGGCCTACCCATGAGGTACATCAAAGGGAAGAGAAAGTTAAAAATAATCAAAGAAAACTTAGAAAGTTTTTCTACAGAAAAGGTTAGCATTTATAAACTTAAAAAATTCAGAAGTCTCTACAGAATTTAGTTTCCATGTATCATCGGTACTCTAAGGAGAGAGAACAGGGGAGGGAGGAGAGATGGGTGTCTAAACCGCTGAATATTTCCTTGCCAAAAATAAATAAATAAATAGGTATCTATTTATTTTAATATTTTTTCCTAGGCACTGAAGAGGACTTAAAATACAAAACCCTGATTTGCTGGGGTGTGCAACCCAACTTACTTTGGCTATTCCTTACTTAACTTCTTTTTTGTATATAGCTTAAACTCTCCACACTAGGTCATTCAAGTCTTGAGTCACCAGAAAAAAGAAGTCGCTGTTTAAAGTATGGCAGACAACCAAAAGTTCAGACAGCTGCAATGAAGGATTAGTTGTGGGTTTTTCTCACTGCCTTGCTACAAACTGCATCACAGCTCTATGTTCAAACATTATTAAATGGGAATGTTTTCTCTGGCACTGACTACTTCTCCCCACAGTTTAAGTATTGAATTTTTTTAACTGAAGTAGCTTTGGTTTACAGCTCACATTAGAACTTAAAAACATATTTCCATAGTAGCTGGCATATGCAGGCAACTGTTTATTCTCAGTACCAGCCATAATAAACACTTGTACTTTTATAATCCAACAAATCTTTGTCTAATCACAACTCCGTTTTCAGAGCTGTAGAATTTGCATGCTATTTAAACCATTTTTCATGAAAACTCTCTAGAAATTGAAGGATTTTCTAAGTCTGCCTTCATTATCAGTATAGAACAATAATTCACTGTAAAGGATGTGGAGATACACGGTGGGTATTAATGGCAATAGTCTATTGAGAAAAAGCTTTGTAAAGCAGGACGCTACAGGATTTTCAGGGGAATAGCTTGCCTTGAGGAGATGCACCTTTAATTCTACCTTGAACTTATTCTGGCAAGTATGAAGAAATGGCACCTCCTTGGTCAGACAGGCTTTCCAGGTGAATGGAGAACAGCAACTTTTGGGTTTTAGCATTCCAAAGCAGTAAAGTTCTGGAAAACGGAGCAATCTGAATTCGCTTTTGGCTCATGCATTGTCAATAGAACTAACGAAGGTCTGCTTGCAGAATCACTGCAGTGAATGAAAAGGCCCAGCAGGACAGTTGAATTCCTTCTGAATTTTCCAGAACTGATTATTCTAAAAGTGTTTGTTTTTTGTAGCTGACTTTATTGGCTACTGGAATTGCCGAGACACAGAAGTATGGAGCCTGTGATGCTGTTTTAGGGGAACAGAACTAAACTTCGAGCAGAAAAATCTCTACCACCCTTCTTCCATTTTTAATGAATATTGCTAATTATGAGGATGAATTAGCAAGAAGCCGGTAATACATGAAGAATTACTATCAGTAAGAGCAGATACTGATTTGAAAAATATTACATATTCGGCACAGTCTGTCAGATACACTGATTTCCAACCTGTGAATCTTCCCTTGCCCACGCTTTGGTTCTTACGTAAGAAAGATTGTCCTGACAGCCAGCAGTCTTGTTTTTCACATAACCAAATACCCACTTCAGTGTGCCAGCAGTTGTGATTCGGTTTAATCTTCAGCTTTTAAGCAGTTCCCCATCATGCAGGACCCCATCCAACAAGAGATCAAGCACAGGACTCACGCTGCGTGCAGACCCTTGTGCTATCTGCCAGAAGATGGACTTCACCCACCCTTAACCTCTAAGTGGTGACTGAATGACATGCTCAGAATTACTGCAGACTTGCTTGTGGGCAACAAAGGAGGATCGGAGGCCAACAGCAGCTATCCAAATAGCCAGCTTTGTTACTAGAAATGTGAGCAGTTGTTAAAAAGTGTAATTGTACAGCTCCACAACAAGCAATACTACCACCGAGGTTGATACGAATTTTATCTCCAAGGTCAGCAGACACACAGTACCAACACTGCGTTCGAGTCAGCCACAGGAACACGGTGGCTTCAACAAAATGACGCTTCCCTGAGCATCAGCATCATCCTGTAAGCCTTGACAAAAAAAGAAATGGAGACAAAAATCTAAATATCCCATCCGGTTAAGCAGAAGCTGCTAACATCTGAGGCAGGCAACTCACAACTGCAAGAATTTGGGGTGGCAGAAGGGAGGCAAGAACCATATTCCCGCAGCCTCCCAAGAAGAGCTGGCAGGATCAGAGAAGTGGAAGAAAAGACACTAATTTATTGCAGTCACATGTAAATGTTGGCATTTAACAATAGCAGCAGCAAAAGAAAAATCAGTTTAAAGAACCTGAGAATGCTGAAAAAAGCCACAATAAATACTGAAGAACTGGAAGAGGAGCTATTTCTCATTAGAAAAGAACAAGGGTTTGAGAACTACTTGTACTTATTAAGATTGAACTGGCTTGGGACCATATGTAGTGGAAATTAAGAAAGCCAGAAAAAATCCACAGACACTTGAACAAAATGAAAAAGGGATCACAGTGCCATTTCGGGAGGCCACAAGAGTATCAGTTGCCTCCTCAAGTTAAATGGAACGGTAAAGGACATCAGACTTACTTCATGTAGGCTTAAGAAAAATAAATCATTGGCTAATGGACATCTTAGTAAATCATAAAATCCCCACCTGAGAAGGCACAATGGCAGGGGATTTTAGCTGTAAGGTCGAGAGCTGAGGAAATGACTGAACATGAAAACAGATCAGCTAAGGAAGCCTTAAAGACAGAATCACAAGCTTACCAGAAAATTGATAATACCCAAGAGACTTGCAATGGTTGAATAACTGTTTGATGAAGAGGAAAAATTAGGGTTCAGAGGCGCTAAATGTATCCCCAGTGTAACCCCTTAAGTCAAATGAATCACAAAACAGGTTAGGTCTGGTGCTCAGTGTTTTACTGGTGAAATGAAAATATTACAATATTTTACCACATGCTTTGTTCTTTAAAAAAGATTATAGCAATCTCCAACAATTAGTGCTGGAGAGGGGAAGGGAGTTCTTTGATTGGAAAGAAATAATTCTGGGTGGCAAACCAAAGAGGTCCTGAAACTGATTTTCTGTCATCTCGTACCTGCTGTATTCTATCCTACTTGCTTCACCAACAGGCAAAATCTGATTAGAAGCTTTATACGCACGTTATTTCCACACAAGATGTATAGTTATGGAAAACCTCGGGCCCAGGAACTTGAATTATAGGCACCTCTCTTGGAGGTCTTTAAGGTTTTGCATTGCAGTACCTACAGACAGCACACAAGAGCTGGGGCACCGCAGAAACAAATGGCCAGATAACAGTCCGTGCTTGGCAGAGCTCCTACATTGGTTTGGTAAATGGTAGTAAAAAAAAGGGTGAACTAAAAATGTTGTAAAACAAAGGCAATGTAGATAGGTCCATCCACCCCCAACCAACTCCATGCCCTTTAATGGTGGGATTTCTGGGTTTGAAAGCTAGAGTATCAAAGACAAAGTTATTTGGGCATATGATCTTAACATCAATGGCTGAGTTTCTGAGGAGGGAATCTGGAGTTGTCCTATAAAGGTTGGAAAGCAGAGGGACAAAAGAGGCCTCCAGAGCAGTAACCTCTCCCTTGAGCATACACACACCTCCAGCAAGAGAAAACTAGGGACAAACTGAAGAAGCCACCCCAGCTGGGTATTATAATACATGTATTTCATGGGGAAGTAAGTGATGGTTTACAGTCAACTGCTTGTAGGTTTTAAAAGCAAAGTTGAATTCTTACATAAAATTACAATAAATGGAGTCCTAATACTGTGTGAAACAAAAAGCGTAAGGAAATCTAATACACCCTCTGTATGCTCAAATTCTGGTCTGGTTACCACAAGTGGAGCTGGGTAAATCTCATAAAGTTAAAAGGCTTTTGATAGATTTTAATTTTGAGAATAAAACTATCTGCCCATTGAATTCTGTGGATTAGCTGTGATTTATACTAAAGAAGCTACCCGCCCCTCCCCCCCCAATCTGATCCTCCAAACATCTTTCACACACACTTTAACAATTTAAAACATTTCATTGCTTTCACAGGCTGGAGGACACTTGCACCTGATCCTGTGGATTCCCCTTCTTGTTCTCTGTAGACACTCGGTAGTGTGGACACTATACTTCTACAGCATATGTAAGCTATAGCACCAGAACTGAGCAAGATAGTGTAGCTCATGATTTGGCTTTTTAAAAACCTAAAGCAGATTTTGGTTTTGCAATTCACTTCCATTCAGCTGAATTAAGGTTCAGTCATAAAGGCACTGAATGCTCCTGTCTCCCCTTGATGTAAGCAGGATGAAACCACTTGCAGGACTTGGTCCTTAAAAATGAAAGAGGAAAGCAAAGGATGAAATCCTGGATCCTCCTCTGAGGTCAATAGGATTTCTGCTCTTCAGTACTCTTGTGCACTAATTCACTATTCATCTCTAACACAGTATTTTTTGGGCCTTAAAAGTACGTCTGTATAGGACTCTGCCACACAGCTAATAAAAATATCAGGAATTCACATGCAAATATTTTTCATGATTCCACTTAAAATTGCCTCAGTTTCCACTTGTACTTAATTTTGGATGAAAACTATGCAGATAGTCCCACAAGACAGAAAAAACCATGCAAGTCATTTTCTACAGAAGAAAATACTAAATACATCGACCATCATTATTTTATACAAGATTGGCCCCACCTCACACAGGAACGACAAGCTGTTTCAACAGAAAGAGTAAGAATTGGTAGAAAGAAGGAATTATTTATTATTCAGTTTTAAGTGACCTCAGTTTCACATCATGGAATTTCATTTAGTTTTTAAGAAAGATCAACACTGCTTACAGAATTCTTTAAGCAATTTTTACAAGATCACTAGTTGTGCTTTGTTAATCATCTTATTTCAGCTATTTAAATGTATCTTAAAATCTTTCAGGTGCATTGGGATCAGTATCACTTTATTCATCATCACAGAAAAAGACATATATAAATAATACAATACATAGCTCAGAAAGTCTAGAGGAACTGTTATGTCTTCCGTGGTTCATTATCTGACAAAAGTTCTTCAGAACTTAGCTGTACTGTTATAACTTAGTAGAACAGCACTGAAATGAGGAACCTTAGTTTAGCCCAGAAAATACAAATAGTCTGCTTTGTTGTGTTTGTGTAAAGGAAAGAAACCTCAAGAGGAAAACCCATATGCACCAATTCTGTAAATGCACAGTGAAAAGCCATGCTCACGGAGAAGTCAGTGCAGCATGGAAGTGATCTTTCAGGAGTGGATCTTGTGACATAAGGTGGAGCTTAAAGGAGCAGCTTTGAGGTATATCTAACTGGAACTACAGGTGACCAAAAACAATAGTAAGGAGCAATGGCGAGTCTTCACTTTTGTAAAATACTTCGTGGTGCTTTTACTCATCAGGATTCTTTCTTTTCTTCTACTTCTAACAGCTCATCAAGGAATTCCACAACTTCACCCTAGAAAGGATTAAATTTAACAGAAACAAGTTAACCCTGTACTGCAAAATCAGTGGAAAATTTTAACCATTTTAATCAAAACATAAACTGTAATAATATGTGTCTAAATATTTAACACCCTTCATACCGAAGCTAGCACAACGAGCCTATAAAATGCAAGTAAATGGCCCATACAGGGGTAGCACAAGTACTTGCAGTGACATACAGACCTTAAAAGAAGGAAATGTTACACTTCACAGTAAATCCTCTTGTACTTTTTCAGGTATTTAAATAGACAATGAAATCCTCAAACTTAGAAAGTAGAGGCATAAATGTTTAAAGCACCTGTTAAATTAGGAAACTGTTAAAATACCATAAAACATTAAAGAATTTTAGAAAGCTTCAAAATTCAAAGCAAAAGTGTTTTGTAGAACCGTAATGATGACTTTGCACCTGTCTGCTCTAACCATTTATGTCCTCTGTTACACTTTTCAACACACACCCTCTCCATTTTTAACCACAGATCTTCACATGCCATGCTTCAATGCAGCAAAAATGTAAAGAACCAGAGATATGAGAATGTTTTCCATACTGGAAACAAATACGTTTGGTTTAGATTCACACCAGAAAATATTGTATTTACAAGCTCTACTCTGCTAATACAGGGTACCAACACAACATAACAATCCAACTTACTTTATTTAAACTACTTCTGACGTAGTTGTAAGTCATATACCATAGTCAAATGTCTTCCTGCAGTCAAGCCTGAGTACTCTGGGATGATTCCAGCCCCACCAGCTGGAATTTACTGCCTTGTCAATGAAGCTACAGTAACTGAGCTAAAACCTGGTGTAATCACTTTCAGCCCAAGGTAACACCTTCAGCAGTGAAAAGCAAATAGCTAACAGCAAACGTGCAGCAGCATCTCAGACTACTCAAAACTGACTGTAGCAGCCCATCTGCTGGCACTCTCAGAAATACTAGTATTTTCCGGTTTGCCTTCCATGCACAATTCACAGACAACACTGCCTGAGATGGGAGACCCCGTGGGAATGCCTGTGCATATTTTCACTTTTTGATTCAGCTCAAATACTGAGCTGTAAGAGAGATGTGGATGCTCAATGTTACATTTTTAACCTTTTATTCTAATAACTACAATGTTCTGTTAAACTGTTTTAATTTAACCGTGTTTTTTCTAAACTTTCCTGTCCTTCCTTTCTTGACATAAACCTATATTCTAAAAAGGTCTTAAGATGTCATTTAGGCTTTTTCCAAAACAAATCATCACTTTCTGACAGAAGAATATTCTGCTGGAAAATCTGATCAGCTCTTACTCACTCTCATGTTTAAAATAATGAGAATTTGTAACAGTTATGTTGAAAGCAAGTCATCCCTGTGTGGATGCTCACTCTCCCTCTTCCCTTCACCACCCCTTCCAAGTCTTTGTGAACTGTATTAGGCTTCTGACTCTGCTCGATGAAGACTGCAAACAGTGTTTAAAATCCTAATCAAATTTTAAGCACATTTTTGTCTAGAAAGGTATTCCTTAGGAAGACAGCCCCTTCCACAGACATGCAGTTTGAGACTCAAAATTTTACAGTTTTCTATGGTGGTGAGGAAAGGGCATTAAAACTTCAGTCAGTGAAAATTGTAAGAGGAAATAGAGAATTTAGAATACAACAATTGTATTATGGATATGGTGATTAAAAATATTAACATCATATTTTTCAGAAGTGTGATTATCCAGGAGAGAAATAATGAGAACCAAAGCAAACAAAAATAAAAGCGGGAGGGAAGCTGGCTGAAATAACTGCTGCTCTTGTTCCCTGCTTCACAGTTCCATCTTAGAAGACTGTTGAGTTTTTGCAACTATGGTTTTAGAAAGTCCTGAAGGACGGCAATTTATTTTGCTTTGAATTTGTTCAAAACATCCAAGTTTCCAATTCAATAAAAACACAAGAAAAAAAGCCAGCACTTTCATATTCCCTACTTGTCTTCCTGGTTGCAGGAAATCTGGCAATTGGAAAACAGGAATTCGACATTCCTGCACGTTTTCCTTTGTTAGAAGTATTTTGATTGCCTAAGGAGCCCAACCATGGGAAGAACTCACTACCACTTCACAAACGCACATGAAGAAAATAGCCACTAGGTCCAACAGTCACTACGCAAGCAGTTGAAAGTTACAGAAACAGAGGCACAGAGGACTTCAGGTCAAGTTATATAGCACAGCTCCTTTATAGCACGCGCATTTGCGTGCCTCTTGAAGGACTACAGACAGGCAGGTCCCATTAACTTTGATCAGAGTTACGAGACCAGGAATACAGGTGGCTACTACAGAGGTCCCAGATCTAATTCAGACTGATTCTTTTACACCTGAAGATCATAGTTTAATGAAGGAATATCAGATATTAAAAAGGATTTCTCTCCTCGGTCTACCTGCAAAGACAACCCTCAAAAGTAAGAGTCTGAGAGGTAGGGTGAAAGACATAAGCATCTATTCTATGATTCTATGATCTGACTAGATGACCCAGAATTAAGTATAAGGAAGACATGGGGATTTCAATATTGTACCTTTGGTAACTCAACCCTATGGGAACTTAATTCAGTTCATATTGTTGTCATGGTCATCAGTAAGGTAGGATATTTCAGAAGACAAAGAAGATCCAGACAGAATTCAGGTTTTTTTTCTTCTGGTATGTTTTCAAATCCAGAAACATGTAAGAAGCCCAAGTTTTAAATGGAAAAGGATATTTAAAAGCAACAGTATTTGAAAAAAATTTGACTGAAATCTGAAATCTCCAGTGCCTGAAATTGATCTCTAGAGGAAAGTATGATGGAAGCTGTGGCGGTCTACTGAGAAGTACTGAGGACTAAGAGAGGTTGAATTATGGCAAAAATATAAAAATAGTTGTCGAAACAATATACATACAGAAAATATGCTGTAATGCAACTGAATAATTGCCTGGATGTTGGTTATTTTTGAAAAGGCAAAACCTCCAGATTACAGTTAAACAGAAACAAAACCTGTAGTTAAAATATTTTTGCCTGTGCCTTCATGGTCAGAACATAAAACATTTGCAAGTTGTCCATACTGTGGTTGGCAGCCTAATGAAAAGGTGATAACACTACGTCAGAAGAGCTGATCACATAGTCACACTAGCAGCTATGATCAGATTGATCACTGTCCTTGCCCCATTAGCACTGACTTGACACCGCATCAGGCATTTTGCATGACTGAAGTCAGCAAATATTTCACAGGTGTTCATTCCAGGGAAAAAGCCTCCTGCCTGCTGATATCTAATAACTTCATGCTGGCCTGCAGACCTGGACTCTGAAAATGATTCTCTGATACGATTTAAGCATTCAGGGTGACAGAGTTCCTCCTGTTATCTGGTATGCTCTTCCTATTAAGGTATACCTACCTTAATAGGAAGGACAGCAAATTTTACATGCAAACCCGTAATTCTTTCTGCTGCCAGCTACTAGAGGGGACAACAGCCACCCAGTTCTAATGCAGGTTACATAAATACGCTGCTCAGACGCAGTGCTGATGTAAATCAGAGTTGAGCAATATATGGCCCAAAGCGTGATGTAGCTGTCTGGCTGGTAGCTAGTAAATCAGTATGTGAAGTCTGACTAAGCTTGAGGAAGAGAAAGGTTTGCCACCAGACCAGTACATGCCTGATAGTTAGGCAGCCAACAACTGGAAAGTACGCACACGTGGACTGCTTGGTCAGCCACAGCGAAGCACATCCTCGTTAGCAAGCTGGCCCTCGGTCCACTGTCACTGCCTCCTGGTTTGCACTGGAGGCCAGGTACGTGCTGCAGGTACGACAGCTCTGCTGGCATCCCATGACCTCCCTCCCTGTGCTACCAACCTCTTCCCTCTCCCAATCCAGGGACAGTCAGTGGGAATGACAATAAGGATGTATGGGAAAAGATGGGACAGGTATAGCCTGAAATATGGGAGGCATGATATTGAACAGCAGCAGGGGAATGCTCCCAGACTGGTGTGAGTGGTAGGAAGAATCAGAGAAGCTAATCTGATCAACTGGAGCCTCTAATTATCTGTCAGATATGCAAACTGAGCACCCTTGGCTTAGAGGATTAACAACTGAACAGAGGCACAAACAGAAACAACAAGTTTTGTACCACAGTAAGTAATTCAAGAAGGTTTTACAGAGGATATGTGAGTAGGTGGATTATAATAAAAAATAATTTTAAAACAGAGTTCTTGGTCAATTCTGAATAAGCTAACCCAGGCTAGTGAGATTGGTGCACTATTATAAGCAAACCTAGAGCATTTGAAAAAATAAGTCCTAAAAAGGAGAAAAATGCAGAACTCCTCACTTACTACCGCAAGCTGAGTGTCCAAGACCAAGGTACACATTGGGCCAGGGATTGTTGCCGGCCCTTCCTTATACAATATTAAATGCTGCATTCACACACAAAAAACACAACCTTTTAGAAGAAACATCTGTACTTTGGAGACTCCTAGCCAGCTATTAAAATAAACAGCATAGAGGAAAAGCTACCAATACATGGCTCAGTTATGGCCCACTTGAAACTGATGGTCCAGCACCAACTTTTCTTTCGACAGCAGCATTTAAAAATAGTAGCAACCAGTAGCAGTTGTACTGCTCGCTGACAGACCCAGACGCTTTGCCTTTGGTTGCTAAGACTAAGCATTGCCTTCTGCGAAGCAAATATTAATCATTCATGGGTCCTTGCCTCCACCTACAATCTGTCCTTTCTCAGTGTGGACTGGAAAAGTTCTGGCAAAAAATAGCTTTCTTGCAATAACCCGTTCTTTCCATGCAGATCTGCTGATGGCCTTTTCTATAGGGATTCGATATGCACTGCAGTGGGATAGCCCGTTCTTCAGGGAAGTAACAGGGAATATTAAAATAACAGTGTTCTAGAATGAATTAAGATCTACAGAAAAATATTATTATGGACATGCTTTCATGCGTGATTATCACTGAATGAATAAGAAACAGCCTTTATCCTAACTCATCCAACAAACTGAGGCTTAAGAGACAATACATAGGGCAAGAAGAATGGGCTGGATCTTTGTTTCCTTATAATCTATGACCTAGAAGGAAAACATTTATCCCACAAGATGTCCCCTGGCTGTCCTTCACAGCAAAAATTCAGATTTTGCTAAAGTTCAAAGATTTTAATGACTGAAAACTTGTTCAAAAGTGAGAGTAACAGATTTTGCTCCCATATGTATTGGGTGTAGGTGGCAAGGTTGTGGTAGCAGGAGGGGTTGCAGGGGTGGCCTCTGAGAGGAGACGTCGGGGCTGCCCTGTAACTAATGATTAACTGTCCTGTAACTGCCCCGGTAACTGATTTGAGTAATTAATGGGAGTAGTGACAAGGAGTTAGGTTCATGAAAAACAGCAGATTTTGTTCAAGGACGAACAACCATCTTGCAAGAGAGAAAACAAAGGTTTGATATGGCTGACTGGAGGATAGGTGCTCTGTGGGCCTGACAGAGCCTGCAAGAGCACACCACACAGCCCACCGGCCAGTGATATTTGTGTGGGGGGGGAACAACATTATTTTGGGATAACAGTAAGGCATGTGTCAATGAGCGGCTCAGCCTGAAAGGTTTATTCAGCCTTCGACCAAGAAAAAGTTCCTTGATCTAACCTTCAGTTAAAACACGGGAGTTCACTGTAACCACCTCAAAGCCCTCCCAGATCCTCCACGAGCAGTACAGACCAGGCTGGACATTCCTCGCATTCTAGCAGGGGAAAAAAAAATCCCTCAATTCTTTGTGCAGAAAAATTATTTGGCCCTTAACTTGTTTATTTTTCAGATACTTAGTCCACAGTGTGACCCACTGTCACACACTTTTAGGTTTTTTTTTTAATACTAAAAGAGCTTAGTTGTTCTTTACATGTATGTTAACTTCTTTCTTAAATATTTTTCTATTTCATTTTTTAATGATATATTCTGAACATGTAACTGTTCTCTTCCCACATACTATGGGAGATTGCAGTACACTGCAGTTATTGCAATAGTATTTTACAGTAATCCAATAAATGTGCTTTCCTCTTAACATTTTTATAATGCCTATAAAACATGAGTCAGCCCAGTTTCAGAGCAACTTCAACATTGCTCCCCTTGCACTTAAAACAGAAGCCTTCCAGTGGCTTTGTTTCTGAGCCCTACTTATGCTCTCCTGGCTGCTTTATGCTGCACGCAGAAGCTTAAGAAAATATGGGCAGGTAAAAATTCCTCCTAATGTCAGTGCCTGCAGCTTGGGGACATCCTACCATTTAAGCCCAACCATGCTCACAGCTTCCCATGGTAGTTAGTTTAAATGGAAGGAGGAACACCTTTGACCAAGATATACATCCAATGTTAAAGAAGCAAGAGGGGAAAGCAGGAAGCTTCTGGAGAGCCAGCCACATGGGCAGTATCTCCACCAGGAAATGATGATGAAAAATCTGTTCTTTGTTCTTTAAAGAAGTGTATGTTGAACAGGGACCATAACAATGCCAATTAGCTGCCAACTCTCTCCGAAATAGCTGCCACCAGCTCTTCCCAGTGTGGCGGTGCTCTTGTAGCCGAGTTAGTCTGAGGTCACAGGCAGGGCAGGGTTTACAGGTCTGCATTTACAACTCGCCGTTACGAGCGCACTTGTATAAATCATTTGAACATATGCAAAAAGTGAGTTAATAAAGCTGAAAATATGTTGTTAGTGATTCCTGAACAGAAAAATAGGCTGAATTCAGATTATTATTTGCTATCAATAGTTCACTGGGCCCTCGTGCTTTGATGCTATTCCATATGTTCTCTTTCCACCAGTCACATTAGTTCAACACTTATTCTCCTTTGCATCATGCTTAGGAATAGAGCATTTGAATTTCAGCTACTATACAAATGGACACACGCATTATATACAAATAAAAAGAACAAGATGCCAAAAAAGTGGGTCAAAGCTGCCAACAGTTTTTCACCTACTGATTAAATACTGAAAGAAAAATCACATTGTAGGATCATCCCAGCCAAATACTTGTGGTTCTTATGTAATTTAGAACAGCTAAGTAGCTATCCCTGAAAAAAAATTCTTCAAGAACACTGATTTTATGGGCCAGAAACATGTCTCATACAATTAGTGTACTGCTGAAGCTGTATCTATACCAGCTGAGTATATGGCTTTTAACAGCATTTCAGTTCGCTATTTAAATCTGTGCAATACTAGGAGTTATATCTATTACAGCCTTTATGCATTACACATCTGAACAGAAAGCAAAAAGCTTGACTATTCATGGCCAACTAAGATGACAACACTGTGTAATGTTCTTTTAACTTCACTGTGGAAAACTGTAAGGATATTTAATAATAATTACTTTTAAGAAAAAGTAATTTGTAGCTAGTTGGAGCTAATATTCTCTGCCACCTCTACCGTGTTAAATGTTTGAATTAGAGTTTTTCATTTCCTTGTGGAAAAACATTAATAAAGTAACATGAACAGGACAGTATTTCTTGTAGTGACATATGCAAAAATCATTACTGCATGTTCCAGCCTCTGCAATTACTGCAATGTATTATTGGAAGAAGCCACATGTTCTCACTCGCTTTGCTAATGGGATTTAAAAAGACACATGGATGATCTGCAATACAGGAGCACTGAGAAGTCTGAATAAAGTGAGATTCTCCACTTGGGAATAATGACATATTCACTTAGGAAGAGATCCTTTTGCCACATCAATCCTTTTGCTTCACTCAAGGGAAGAGAATGATTTTTTTCTGCAGATTATTTTATGGACTTGTTGGCCCACAAGCAACTTCACAGACAGCAAACATGAACCACAGAAACTCACAAAAGGTATGGCCTATGGCCCAAGAAGCACACGGTTTAAATAAACAGAGTCCACTAAAAAGAGAAGTTACCTCCATCCTTAACAATTTTTAATAAAGCTTTTACTGTAACACCTTATCTGGGTTTTTCATCAGTTTTCAGCATTCCTATAGAATAAACTTTTCTATCCATGCCAGGAGAAACATTAAAAAAAAAAATTCCACTTACACTACCAGGTCCTGCCCATATAGCAGAAACTGCAAAGGTAGCGATTTTACCTTTGTGCTATTCCTGCTCTGTCTGGACTCCCTGGAAGGCTCCTACAGCCGAAGAGAAGTTCTGGTAGCCAGGGATTTATGAGTTCACTACCAAAAACCAGAGCCAAGCCAGAGGCATGGACAGCCTCCATCCCTCCCAGGTTCTTCAGCCCTAGTAAGTGAGGGCACAGAAGCCCTTCAGCTTTTCCTTGGGAGAGGAGAATGGTAACTTTCCTAATACGATGAGAGTGTGGGGTAGGGATATCTGTGGCATGACCAGGCCCAGTAATTTTGGTTGTTTAACCCAAACATATAATCCAGTGTAATGTGACTTCCTTGACACTTTCCCAAAAGTTTAATTGACGTTTCCACTGTACTTCCCTCCTGCAGATTGCAAGGTAATTTATAATTGCACTGGTGAAATGGGCTACAGGAATGCATGCCAGCAAATGAATGCTTGTTTATTCTATACACAGTGCTTGAGGCTGACGATTGTTTCTCTAATCCCTTCTTGTAACAACATATGGGGAAAGTCCTCACAACGGACTGCTTCTCTCCTTCCTTAATTACTCATCCCTATGTTTTGAAGCAGCAGATGTGAAAGAAGGAAAAAATTACAAATTAAGTTTACGCCTAACATAAGAAAACATCACGGGCAAAGCACACACCAACAAGGGAATATAAAAAAAGTGCTCAAGTATTTCCAACCCTGATGAAAATCCATACAGACTAGTCCTCATCTAAGCTTAACCTTATAAAAAGCTTATTAAACTGTCTTTCACAGAGTTTTATCACAATGGAAAGTCTTCCTGAAGTCTGGTAACCTTGCAATGGAATTTTACGTATAGAGCTGTTTTTAGGTCACTAGCATACTGAAGGCAGCACAGACACGTTATTACTTCTCCACTATAAAATATTATCTCTCCCTGTGTGCTGGATAACATAAAAATTGCAAAGGTGATTTCATTTTTTAACATTAGCCATCTTTCTTTTTTCTAACCAAAAAAGACCTCAGCAGTGTTCATTACAAGTACCCTGCCCCATGCCATAACTAAACATAGCTTTTTGCCAATGCCAGCAATGAACTATTCCATCATTTGAAGATTTTTTTAAAGCTTTAAATGAAAGGTTCTGAAAACAAAGCAAAACAAAAGGCAATCCAAAGCCTCCATGATTTATACTTTAATTTCAGCTGTGGGAGACAAAGAAAGCCCTTTCAACAATTTAACTACTTTTCTTGCACAAAAAATCCACTTTACATATTTCCAGTCTAATAGTAGTCATTATATGTTATTTGGCCATGAAGTCCAACCATTCAAGAAGCAAGACTGGGTGACCAAAATATTACTGTGCAGAAAAAAATAACAGATAACAAGACTTCCTTTTGACAAAAATTACAATTTAGGTGGTTACTTCTGGACAAAATTGCAAGGATCTTTAAATCTAATTTAAACAACATTTCAGGGGAAAAAAAAAAACAAACAGAAAAATGTTGGGTTTAAATATACATACTACTTCTCTGCCCCCTGGTGTTATAGCTTGCAAAGTGGATTTTCTTTTTTTGTGGGCTGAGTGCATTATATTTACCTTTGTGTTAATACTGCCCATATTTTTTTAAATGGTACGTGATGTTCTTCGGGTTTGTTTCTTATATTCCATTTACAAAAGAAAAATTTATGATAAATTGGTCACGGTTACAAGATGATTTTTCCATATTAGCTAAATCCTGGAATTCCACCTACGTATCATCTTCACTTTCATGTGATTCTGGTTTTTTGACCACGATTTCCTTTCTAGAAAACTCACCTCATCATCATCCATCAGATGTTCCTTTGCGAATTCATACATTTCCAACTGGAGTGTGGTTATGTTGTGGTATCGAACTGCCTCCTATCAAAAACCAGAATTTCTATGTTACTTTAGCGTAGCAAGACAGGGGAGTGTCACCACATGTCACCCGAAACAATTCCAGTGAAGTCAGACCCATACTTAGTACAAGGTAGATCCCGGGGGGGGTTAAAATGTTTGAGAAAGGAAACAGCAGAACAGCAAGCAGCATATCCAATGTCTTCTGCGGATCTTTCTAAGCACAGGCTCCATCGGTGTGAGAAGAACAAAGCGCTCTCCTCTTTCTCATGTTTCAAAGCACTGGCGAGTCTGAGAATAAGGAACGAGACTGCCAGAGCTAAGCAGCAGCCTGTGCCTGCATTCCAGCGGGCTTTGGACTTGAGAAAGCCTCTGTCTCCCCGTGCGCTGGCGTATGGCGGCAGGCAGTTCTGGGAAAAAGAGACACTAAGCTATTTTGCATGACAATGACTCACCCCAGCCTGAGTCTGGGCCAGGGAAATTCTGCACGGTCACCCACCTGTCCCTCCTTGCTTCCCCAACTGTCTGCCTGGACAGCACAGTTTAGCTCAGTCACCTACTCTCATATTTGCGAATACTAACAGTAATCTACTTTGATTATCCTGTTTAACTCTTTTTGGGGAAGAAAACAGGAGACTTCCTCTTTCACAAGAACATCTAAAGCTTAGTGCCAGAGCCAAATGCTGCTGTCATCCCATTACCACTTCGTGAAAATAAACCAGAGGCATTATGGTTTTCATGGCAAGTGATTAGGACAGCAAACAACTTCTGTTCATAGTTACATGGATCAAAGTACAAGAAAATAGAGCTGTGTGCGTTTAATATTTTATATTTAAAAATTAAATTATCTGTAGTCCCCAGCTCCTGAGAAGTTATCAAAGAAACATTCAGAGTTAATGTGTAGGGCCCTTGTTCTGTTCTCTCTGCACACGTATGCCAAATCTGTCTGTGGTTTGCAGTTTTATACTGTTGCTACCCCTCACTCCCACCACCGTCAAACATTGTCTCCAAATGGCTATAAAGCACAGTTCTGTTCCCAAAAGCAGTGACAAAGGAGTGCTCCCTTTCCCTGGTGAGCTCAGACTCACTGCTGCTGCCTGAAAGAACCAAATGCATTTTCGCTGTCTTCTGTCTCAGCTGGCCCTGCAGGGCAGGCCTGGGTTTCCAGTGTGCAGATAAGGTGTGTTGCACATAACTCAACAGCTGTCCACAACCAAAAAACACTTAAATCACTTGGACTGGTATTTTTGACTTGAGCTGGCTGGCCTGAGAGGACAGCAAATGTAATTATCAAATCAGTGCAACCTATACGGTGCATACCTGAACTGTTCTGCAGTGTTGCTACAGCTAAAGCCAGTCACCTAAGCACTACATGTATGTACTGAGCTTAATGCAGCATTAAGAATCCAGGGATATGCCTTTGGGCCAGTACAGGTCTCGGTGACTGAGGTGTCTGAAGAAGCAACATGGGAAAGGCAACTGGAATGTTACGCTGTGGGTGCCCGCTGTTGGTTCAGCTAGGTTAACTTAAATGACTCTTCCATGGGGAAGTCATGCCATAAGAGAAAGAGAAGGCACTAAATTTGATTTGTGGAACATGTATTGCTAATGACTAACTACTTGCACAGCACATACCACTGATGCCTAAGGAGTCACTCAGGTGTCACACAGCAGTTAATTCATAGAATCATAGAATCATTAAGGTTGGAAAAGACCTCTAAGATCATCAAGTCCAGCCGCAAACCCAACACCACCATGCCCACTAAACCATGTCCCTAAGCGCCTCATCTACACGTCTTTTAAATACTTCCAGGGATGGTGACTCCACCACTTCCCCGGGCAGCCTGTTCCAAGGCCTGACCACTCTTTCAGTAAAGAAATTTTTCCTAATGCCCAGTCTAAACCTCCCCTGGCGCAACTTGAGGCCATTTCCTCTCATCCTATCGCTAGTTACTTGGCAGAAGAGACCGACCCCCCCCTCGCTACAACCTCCTTTCAGGTAGTTGTAGAGCGCGATGAGGTCTCCCCTCAGCCTGCTCTTCTCCAGGCTAAACAGCCCCAGTTCCCTCAGCCGCTCCTCATAAGACTTGTTCTCCAGACCCTTCCCCAGCTTCGTTGCCCTTCTCTGGACACCCTCCAGCACCTCAATGTCCTTCTTGTAGTGAGGGGCCCAAAACTGAACACAGTATTCGAGGTGCGGCCTCACCAGTGCTGAGTACAGGGGCACGATCACCTCCCTCCTCCTGCTGGCCACACTATTTCTGATACAGGCCAGGATGCCATTGGCCTTCTTGGCCACCTGGGCACACTGCCGGCTCATGTTCAGCTGCATGACATAAATCCTGGCTACAAGAAATGACAGAAAATCCAACTTGATTGCCAGAGTCCAGGCTGCAGGATTCCAGAAACACAGCAAAGATGCTTTTGTATGTAAAATTTCCTTGGACATGGAAATTTAAGAACAGCATAGAAACCAATTTTTAGAGTCATTTGTCAAAGCCAGATCACAATCATTGCTGGATGGACTGATGTTTACTATGGGTTCTTTGCAGCAAGCATTCTAACTGAGATAATTAGGTGCAATATGGTTGTGAGCCTTCTCCCATCATCATCCACCCAACTATGTTCTAAATTGAGTAAGTGGAAAGTGGGTTTAGCTGGGGTTATCATATCTGGACACATTCCAATGCACACAGAACCTGAAATAACACGCAGGTGGGCAACCACATGTTGGCAAATAATAAGTGATTGACAAAAGCCCGAATGTCACTGGAGTGATCTTTTCATCAGGAGATTTCAGGGGCCAGCTGCTTTATTTATCGAGGTAGATAAGATATAAATATACAAGTGGCAGACAAGTACCAGCGTGAATTTACTTATCATCATATCATATTATATCCTACTATAGTATATTTCAACACAAAAAAAGAGGAACATGAAATGACATTCACTGCCTACATTACATAGTACATCTCTGTGCACAACCTTCTGTATGGTGTTAATAAAACAGTATGTGTTTTAACTCCAGAACCAATAGATAACCCCCATTTTCACAACCTCTGATGCAGTGAATTTGTCTAGAACACATTTTAAATAATTCACTTACTGATCTGGGCTGAAAATCCTCTTCTTTAAGTCCCCATTTGTCTTTGTGGTACTGATAATAGACCATGTTCTGTTTCATTACTTCATCTTTCTGGTCAAACAGAAGGTAACTAGCAGCACAAGAAGCTGCATTCTTCATGTCATTCACTAATTAATAAACACACCAAAAAAAATCCAGATAAGGTAAATGAACAAATTTCTACTATTATCTAAGCCTGAAAAACTCAGACGGAAACAGGATCCATTTTCCACCTCCCCACCAGCTGCACAGAAAAAAAAAAAATTGCTTCCCAGAAAGGATATGCTATTTTTGTGTTCTGAAACAGATAAGGCCATGATTCAGAAATGGGGACTTACCTCTGATGGTTTTCTATGAATATCCTAACCAAATGTCCCTCCCAGGTATCTCAGTATCAGTGAGGTATCAGCCTACAGCTTGGTGATCCCCATTGGGGCACTTATTAAAAAACAAACAAAAAATAAATTACTCCCCCCCACTTCTTTGTACTAGAATTGACAAAGAGGGAAAAGTCAATGTGTAAAATGTGTAGTCAAACAACATAAGCACAAGTCATTAATGGCTTGATTCTACATGGCTGGATGTGTCTTCCCTTTGGTGTTGGAGCCTGCAGAAGTAGCTATAAGGGCCACATGTGTTCTTTACAGTGCAGGTAGTTCCTCAAGAAACCACAAAATTCACTGATTTAACCTATCAAATGTGTAATCACTGAGCACCAGAACACTACAATTTCTGCTAAGTGGTCCCCTCTTTCTTCAAAACCCATTTAGCGTGATGTGCCCCATTCTAACAGGATTATAAGAATCTACTAGGAAAAAGTAAATGGTATGAAATACTCTTGTAGGTTTGTCTGTGAAGAAATTCTGAATGGTAAATTGAAAATTGAGTATCTATTCAATAGAATAAGTGGTGTTATGTTAAATGTGTTGCCTTGAAGTCACAATCTTTCTTCTCTCTAACTGAATGAGTTAAGAAGTTTAAGAAAAAACTTCTTCTTAGAGCTATACTTTCAGCTGCTTAACAACCATGTGGGCCTGACAGCTTGACCACCATGGCTTTTTGGCACAAACCATGTTTTTTTGTACACAGGCATATAAAATGGGTCTGTGTCATTGCAGGTGTTCCAATGTATAGGAAGTGGCTGACACTGTTTACCCTAACGTTATGAGTTACTTCAAAAAGGCAGAAGAGTTGGCGTACCATTTAAACATCTAAAATATGTAAGATGAACATTTATGTGAATTTATATGAATATTTATCATTTATATGAAACTCTGAAAAGTGTAAGCAACTTGTGCTGGCAGTAGGTATCATATAAAGAATGAAGGGCAGTAATGGATCAGATCGCATTTATTCTGTAACTGCCTCATTTTTCCAACACCCAAGTGGAGACCAGTCACAACCATGCATAATTTAAAACAGAGGGGCCTGCCCTGGGCAAAATCCAGCCCTTATAGGACTTATGTTCAGCAACTTATTTTGCCATGGACAATTTTATGAGCATGGGCTCTATACATAACGTTTATCTCCCATGTCTGTTAACTACAGTTATACAGGGAGAAAAAGACACCAGGCAGCTCAGACTTTGTCCCAGAACAGGTTAAAATGCAGATCCTGGAGGCCACTATTTACATTCTAAACCATTATAACTAGAGGGAAAAGATTATGAATGGAAACTGTCCCACATCATCCCAATGTTATTTAAGCACATTAAATCACTACTTACATTTATAATAAGCAAACTGCAAGTAATGGTACATGGTGGCCACAAATTTCTCAACAACAAAGCCTCCTATAATGGGTGTCAGATTACTCTCGCACTGCACTTTGCATGCAAGGACTTCAATGTAATGATCTAGAAGGAAGAAAACAACAACACAGGATATGGATAGTGCACAGTGAATTGTTGTAACACCTCCCATTAGCTACCCATTAAAATCTGGCCTTATAATGCTCTCCTGGGTCCTGTGCATCTGGATCTTGCTGCTTGGAAGTACTGAGCATCTACAACTCCATCTGAAATACATATGAAGTACTGGGACTCAGCCCTTCTGTAAAAATCAGCGCGGTCTGGACTTAAAATGTATCAAAGCTGCAATTGCAGAGAACTAAGCAGTTATGTTTCACTGACACCTACAGGTAGTCTGTGGTGGTAGGTGTTATACAGAGTGTTACGGAGTATCGCATTATTTCCTGTGAACATTAACAGTGCCTTTTTTTTCTTTAAATTTTGAGAGCCTTTGCAATTTCATTCAATTATTGCATGAATAAGGGCCACATGCTGCTGAGTACAACTGTGTCACAGAGAAATACAGCAGGTGATTGCAAAATAAACCTCCAGAGACGGCCGCATTTTGTGCATGCAGTTTGGACATTCTAAAAGACAAGACAGACATGAATATCCTGCTCACTACAGAACAAGTTTCAGCCAGAAATGTTTAAGTTCACAAGCTTACCCGGTCTACAAAATTTTGGTACAATAGGATAGGACTAGAGATTAACTTCTTTTCAAAAAAATACATTCCGAGAAAACCTTCATCAAAGAATTTCAACAGTTTTCAGGATATATCACATTAGACAACAACACCAAACAGAAATATTTTAAAGCCTTAGTTTCCCCACATTTGGCAGGTGAAAGCAAGTTCTCTAATCTTGTACAGCAAGTCTCTGACCAAGGCAAAAGAACAGCAAAGGCCTCTTCCCTTGTTTTTATATCTGACAACTCCTAACGTGAAGAACGTTGAAGCTAACTAAAAATGATTGGCCAAATGAAATGACCAGACGTGTCTTTTACAAGAGCAGTGGAGTCTCCAGACTCAATAGTGTTCAATTCCAGCCAGCACTTAAAGCCAGCAACACAAGTCCCTCAGTGAAGCGATCCCATGCAATGAGGACAGCTGGCTTCCAAACATAACCCATTGCTCAGGGATAAAGACGTACCTAGTGCAATCACCAAATACTTCCGGTGAACATTTTTTGCTACGTCTACTTTCTGCAGTAAAAGCCTTGTAGGCAGGATAGATCTGCGTGGAGCAAGAGCACAGTTCAGGCCTGGCAGCGCAAGTAAATTACAATTTTCTTATCTCAGGAACAAAATCTTTGAAATACATGCACATGGCCGTGATGACATCATGCAGTAACTCCTACCTTTCCTTCTCACCACTACTGCTGGAATTGTCCTTTCCTGCCAAGGAGGAAGAGGAAAGATGACAGCAAGTGCCAGTCACAGCTGAGCAGGGACTCTCCTCTTTACAGTGCCCTGGGGGTTATCCTGATGCCTGGGCTCTGACCCACGGGCGAAGAAAGCCTGTGTTTCTTGCTTTACCCCCTGGGATTTGACCTTCACTCCGTATCTGCTGTCCTAGGCCCCTGCCTGCTTTGCCCAGGAGTAAAGCCAGGCTTGAGGAATAGCCTGCAATAGCTATTGCATGTCAGCTGTACTGCCATACTGTGAGTAACTGTGGAGCCGCTCTTCTACTTTACATTTAGGTATCCATGTATTTCACAAAACTTTCCCCTCACCAATACATCTGATGGCCTTAGGACAAAACGTTGCGCTGGTTTTCCCTCGGGCAACTTAGAAATCCTGTTGCATTTTTCACGTTTTGAAGTTTGTTGAGAAAACATGCAG